GCAGTAGTGGTGAGAGTGAGTGGCGAGCCTGCAGGCACTGTGGTTCCGCATGGCATGGCATGGCATGGCATGGCATGGCATGGCACAGCAGTAAGCAGGGTTGAAGCAGCAATGCGCGGAGTCTGACCAGGGTTGAACCAGTGCGTGTTGAAGTAGATGCCCGAGGCGTCCATGTCCCCGCTGATGTTGCGCCCCGTGGCCACCACCAGGTTGTTGGAGATGGTGGCCAGCATGCAGTCGATTGCAGGGTGCTTTGAGTGTTTTACAAACACAACAGTGCAGCGCAGGGCACAGCACAGCACCCACCGGGGTTGAACCAGTGCGTGTTGAAGTAGATCCCCGAGGCGTCCATGTCCCCGCTGATGTTGCGCCCCGTGGCCACCACCAGGTTGTTGGAGATGGTGGCCAGCATGCAGTCGCCCACGTACGACACGAACGCGCCGCACACGATGCCCGCGAATATGAAATCGTGCACGTAGTTGTTCCTCACCGTCACTCCCACCGCCCCAAAATACAGCACTATGGGGAAACGTGCGCCTGGCGAGAGAGAAGGCAGGGGTGGTTGGCCGGAAGAGCATGGCCCCGATGGGAAGAGGAGGGCCCAGGTGGGATGAGGAAGCACAGATTGTTTGAGTGAGTGACATTTGCCTGCTGGGTCATTTGCAAGTGTGACATTGGCTTGGAGCATCATGGCAACGCATACAACAAGAGCATGGAGGTGAGACAGCTGGGCTCGGAACACCTGCCAGCAGCGCAGCGCAGAGTGACGCACCGAAGACCTCGTTGTTGCTGATGACGACCCCGCTGCGCTGCATGGTGGGGCCGTGGCCGCAGAAGGCGACGCGGATGAGCCCCTGGCCGCGCTTGAAGTCGCCCACCCCCGTGACCTTCATGCCGTCCACACGCACCGCCACCGACCAGTACACGTCCACCCGCCCGTACACCGTGCCGCGCGCCACCTGCACGTTGGCTGACTGTTGTGGGGGGGAGGAAGAGCAGCAGGGGGCAGTGGAGAGCAAGCGCTTCAAGTGGCTGTTTTGATGATGAGTGCGTGGGGGTTGGTGTGGGGCAGATGGCGGGCCCAGTGCGGGCGTGATGCCACCCACCCACCACGGCACGTCCACCCGCGCGTACACCGTGCTCCATGCCCCCTGCCCCTTGGCCGCCTGGTGGGGGGAGAGGTAGCGGCGGGGAGCAGAGGTGGAGAGCAAGCGCCTCAATCCGCGGTCTTGCTGATAAGTGCCTGGCGCCTGATACGTGGGGGCGAATGGTTTGGAAGCGCGTGGAACGCACCCTGATACTCGCACATGTGCGCTGGTGGTTGGGCATTGGTGGCGGGATGCATGGCATGGCGAGGTGTGTGGGATAAAACTCCTCATTCATGCATGCTTGTGCCGTGTAGCAAATAGCGGATGGTGCGTCACCTGGTAGATGTGGACGACGTCACCTGGTAGATGTGGATGACGTCACCTGGTAGATGTGGATGACGTCACCTGGTAGATGTGGATGGCGGGGCAGATGACGTCAGTGCCCATGTACGGGATGCCCTGGCAGGCGTTGGTGTCAAGGGCGTAGGGCTGGAAGAAGGAGACGCGCAGCACGAGCACGTTGCTGGCGCCCGCTATCCACAGCAGCGGCGCGTCCGTGCGCATGAGCGTCAGCTGGAAGCCGCGTGCGGGGCGGGCGGTGGAGCGCAGCACGGTGCAGGCGAAGGACGCGTTGAAGAGCAGCGGCGCCGTCAGCAGGATGTGGTTCTGGAGCTCCAGGACGACCGTGACGGTGGGCGGGTACTTGAGGCGGCGGGCGAAGTCGTCCTCCGAGTTGACTGCGATGATCACTGCTGTGGTGAGCGGCGTGCATGGTAGCCCGCTTGATGGCGGCTGGCGCCCTGTAGAGGTGGTGGGTGGGGGTGTGTGGGATGCCATGACATGCCATGACATGACCATCACATTACCACACCGCACACGACATAAGACATGAGATCACACCACATCACATCACATCACATCACATCAGTCCCACACAGCGCCCAAATCCACCCACAGCGTCACACGTGTTCAGTTCAGCCGCACGCATGCCTCGCCTACATCACCTCACTGCCCACGCGCAATCAATCCCCTCTCCTCCGCGCCTTCCCCCTTACATCACTCACTATCCCCCTTGCCCCTCTCTCTTCCCTCCCCTCCCCCTCCCCTTTCCCCCTATCCCCCCTCCCGTAGCCCCCACTTACGGATCGTCTGGGGGCTGATGCGCGGCTCAGCGAACGGCCACGCGCCATTGCCCGCGCCCCTCCCGCCGTCGGCCGTCATCCCCGCCTCCTCCGAAATGGCGGGCCAATCAGGTTCGTACACCTGCGCCAGCGGCCTGTGATTGGCCCACGACACATCCACCCACGGCCGTCTCTTGCCCGTCCGCCCCCGCCCGCGCATCGACTTCCCCCACGCGCTGGTGCGCGCCTTCGCCGCGGCCATGGCGGCCTGCGCCCGCTCGTACGCGCTGGCGCCCGCTCCCCCTCCGCCGCCACCTATGCCGCCCAAAGCCCCGCTCCTGCTGCTGCTGCTGCCGCCGCTGCCGCTGGTGAGGACGATAGTTTCATCGCCGCTGCTCGCAATGCTCGCCGCCCGCACAGTGCTGCTCCCCTCTCCTCCTCCTCCGCCTCCTCCGCCCCCTCCGCCCCCTCCGTCCCCCTGCCCTTGTGCGCGCTTGAGGTGGTTGCGCAGAAAGGGCGGGAGGCGGCGCACGTGGTAGTGGTAGCGGTAGAAGCTGTTGGGGGTGGCGCCTGGGGTCACTGGCAGGGACGCGCGTGTGACGGGGAAAGGGGGGAAAGGGGGAAAGGGTGCAGGGGAAGCGGGAAAGGTGGGGCGGGTGGTTGAAGAGGGCCGCGTGGAATTTGAGTGGTGGCGGAAGGAGAGGGGGGTCACGCAGGGCTCGGGGAGGGGAGCAAGAGGGGGCAGGGCGTGAGGAGGAGGGGAGCGCCATGGAGCGCTGTGCACGCGATGGCAGCGGTGCAGTAACGTGGAGCCACGGCGAGGCCGGCAGCACTGCACCGCATAACGCCGACCTACCCACTCTGCCGTGAATGCGCAGGGCGCATGTGGGGAAGGCATATACGGGGAAGGCGCATATGGGGAAGGCGTATACGGGGAAGGCGCATATGGAGAAGGCGTATACGGGGAAGGCGCATATGGAGAAGGCGTATACGGGGAAGGCGCATGCGGCGTGCGTTGAGGGAACTCATAGTGCCGCCAGATGACCTTTTTCGAAGTCGACACGAGCATTCAGCGATCTACACGCACCTGGGGCAGCAGCAACCGCGGGGGTGCTGTGTTGCGCGAGAGAGAGCAGCGCGCCGACAAGCAGCAGTGCCGTGTCGCGCCACGCGGACCCCGTGCACGACGGCGGGCCGCGAGCCATGCGGGTCGGACTTGTAGCGTGAATCGTCTAGGGACGGGTAGGCCGCAAATGTGAATTCGACCAGCAGCGCAGATGGACGCGCACGATTGGGTTGCCGCGCCAGCGAGCCGCGGAGCTGTCGCTAGTGACGCGGTACTAATGGCGATGCAACGCGACGCGAGGTGACGCTGCGGCGATGCTGAGAACGAATGTGACAAGGGAGCCGTGCGGGATCTGTGGCGAATCTACGTGGACGAGTCTAACGACGGCGAGCGTTCGTAGGCTCGGCAGGGCGCAGGTGGTCGCGCTGCGCTCCGAGCGGTACTATGGTGGACGCTACTTTCAGTTCCGCAGAACCGCTTGTAGCGAGAACGAGTTTCTCCTTGGTAGTCTCTAGGGTAGCAATCTGAGAGGTCCTGCAGACGCGGAAAACAACAAAACTAGGTCGCGCGTAAAAACAACACTTGAAATTTTGAAGGGCGCGCAGAGGAGGAAGAACAAGCGGTTCAAGATGCGGAGGGCACCGCGCGACGCCGCGAGCTGGAAAGGAACTATCCGCGAGGGAGGACGGCCTTTGATTGCGCCGCTGCGCGCTTGGACTTGCGATGAGTTCGCAGCGGGGTGGGTTCCGTCGGCGCCTTGGGTGGCGACTGGTGAAGGTGAATCGTGCTACCATCCATGCATCCATGCATTGCTCCATTCTTGCGATTGCGAGGGACAGCATGACGAGGGTTCGGCGCACTAGCCGCCCAGACCCAGACACACGGCCCATAACTGCCCGTGTCCACTCCTCCCCTCTCTCCCCTACGGAGGCGACCAAGGGCGTGGGGAGTGGGGAGGTGCAGTACGGACGGATGGGTACTGCCCAGCAAATCCTGCTTGCAGCTGTTCACATCAGTGTTTGGTGTAGGTGTGCGGAAGGGCATGTGGGGAGTGAGGGGAGGGGAGGCCAGGGAGCGAGGGAAGGCTAGGGAGGATTTTAGGGTATGCAGAGGTGGTTGTTGGCCCGGTTTGACGCAGCACACAGCCTTCCGTTCGCTCTCCACCGTTTGATTTTGAATCACAACGGGTAAATTACTCTTTCTGTACTGTAATTCGATAGTGTACAGTGGCTATAGCCCCACTGGAGGCCAGCTGTGGGGCGGAGGTGGGCCTGAGGGACGATCTTTGGAGACGATTCGCCAACAAACTCCTCGCCCTTCCGACCTGTAGATTACAGGGCAGAATTGGTGATGCTTGCATTTCTGGCCGCGTCGACTAGCCGCTATTATCATGCAGCGATAACTCGATAAATACACCAAGAGAAATGGAACTTGTGACGCTTGTCCCAATACATTGTAAATCAGGTTCTGTTTGTCCGCTCCTTATTCACTGGAGTATTGACAAGCCAGAACCACAATGTCAATGCTTGTTAATTTACCGGGGGGGCACAGCACAACGCACCAGAACCATATGAATGCACACCACAACCATAGAAGAGTCACAATCTAAATAGCGCATGGTGGCAGCGTGCAAGGTGTCGCACAAGAGTCAGCATGCGACTCTGGAAGTCACACAGGAGGTCCCCTTCTGTCATCTCCCCAGCACCGCAACCATCACAGCATGTTTCAAGGTGTGCACTCGCTGAGCAGAAACTCCCTGTACAAGCACTCTCCGTGCACCGATGTGCCCTTGCCATTCATTCCACCCATCCCACCACCTCCCTGCACTCCCCCTTTCACCGGGCCCCAGAAACCCCCCTTCCCCCTCCCCCTCCCCCACCCTCTGGAACCGCCATTGCGTGCAGCGGGGCTGGACTCATCCCCAGCAGCGCCACCCATGGCGGCCAGGTCCACACACGACTGCACGCGCTGGCAGCTCAACATGCCCACTCCACCCGGTAACCCACCACGATCCGCATGACCCGCCCCAGCACTAGCAGCAGCAGGCAGTGTGGCGGCACCACTGCTTGCACCGCTCCCCACCGCCCCTCGCCCATGCTGCCGCCCACCTGACTGGGGCGAGACACCCTGAGCCAGGGGGCTCTTTCCCGGGCCAACGGGTGACTGCCACGTCATCCCGGCACCACCCGCACTGGCGCGGGCGTTGAGTCGTCGCGCCCAGCCACCAGCGTTGTCGCTGTGCGTGCTGGCGGACGGCGAGCGCGGAGACAGCGGCCCTCTCAGGGCCAGCGGGGCTGCACTGCGAGCGCCCATTCCACCCATGGCACCCACCACATCACCATCCGCACCGGGACTCGCCATGTCCTCCTCCTCGCCCTCGCCCTCCTCCCCACCCATCCTCAGCAGCCCCAGGCGCCGGGCCATGCGGAAGCTTCCGCGCAGGCTGCCTCCGGGGCTGGGCGCGCCTGCTGCTGCCGGGCTGGGCGCCCCGCTGCCAGGCATCATGGTGAAGAAGCGCCGTGACCCATGCTGGCTGCCGCCCGCCCTGCTACTCGCATCTTCCTGCTCCCTACCCCCAAAGAGGCCAAAGAAGCGCCGTGAGCCGTGCTGGCTGCCGCCCCCCTTGTGCTGCTCGCCCTCCCTCACTCTGATCGCACTGACGAACCGCCGTGAGCCGTGAAGGCTGCCGCCATGCACACTGCCGCCACCCTCTCCTCCCTTCTCCCCCTCGCCTCCCTTCATAAGCCCTAAGAACCGCCGCGACCCACGATGGCTGCCCCCACCCTCCACACTCTTGCCACCACCCTCCGGACTGACCGCCTTCCCCTTCCCTTTCCCCAACCTCCTCCCTCCTTCACCTACAGCACCCCGTGTAACAGCAGCATGGGCGGTGGCGTGGTGGTGGTGATGGTGGGGGTGGTGGTCATCAGGGTGGTGGTGCAGGCGGTGCACGTCGTGGTGGCGTGTGACGAGGGCAGAGAAGTCAAGCAGGTCAAACAGAGGCACGGGGGGGATGGCAAGGGAGGAGGACGCGGGAGGCAGGGCTGGGGGTTGATGGGCGAGAGAGGAGGTCGCTGCTCCCTGCTGCTGCTGCTCCTGGCGCTGCTTCTCCAGCGCAGCAGCGATACCAGAACCACCTCGCACGCACCCCTCCCTCTCGCTTTCCCCGCCCGCTGCACTGCTACCAGCAGCGCTCGCACCGCTGTGCACCGCTCCTGCCTGCAGCGTCACAGTGGGAAGCACGTGAGCCAGCATGCTGTGCGCCATGACGCTGCTGTGCACGCCCATGAGCTGCTGTGACAACCGCTCGTGCCCCAGTGCGTCTAGACTCGCCAGCAGTGCTGGCAGCGACAGCATGGCTGAAGGGGGGTGCTGCTGCTGCTGCTGCTGCTCACCCCTGTCGTCGCTCTGCCCCTCCACAGTCCCACCTGATTCGCTCACTGCCTCCAGTGACGTGCCCGGTGCTGATGTGGCACTCGCCAGGTGGCGCACGAGCTGTCGAAACTCCGATTCGCTGAGCTCCAGCGACAGCAGGGCAACGCACGCGCGCTGAAGCTTCCTGGTAGCTGCGTACAGGCGGAAGCCTCGCAGCGACCCCTCCAGCTGCACGCCTCCCCTCACTCGCCCCTCTGCTGCCGCCCCTCCCTGTGCCCGCCCCTTCCATAACATCTCTTCTTCCTTCTGCCCCACCCGCCTTGCTGCCATCTCCCCTTTCCTCTCCCCTCTCTCCTCGTCCCTCGCGCTCCTCTCCCCGTCCTCCTCGCCTGCCTTCCCTGTCCCCTCCTTCTGCATCTCTGCCGCAGCCCCACTCACTCTCTCTCCCGCGCTCGCCTCCTCTGCGCCCACTCCAGGCTGGGCGGTGAGGGGCGCTGCAACCAGGGGTGATGCCCGCGCCAGGGAAGCACCAGTCGCCGCCACAGCCGGCTGTGTCGTGTCCCCTGCAACGGCAGCTGCAACGCCCTCAGCAGTGCCGGCCAGCCACGGGTGGAGCAGTGCGTGGGCGGCCGTGGGGCGCTGCCAGGGGTCGGGCTCCAACAGGGCACGCAGGAACGACTGCGCTGCTGGCGAGGTTTCCGAGGGTAAAGTTGGAACTATTCCTTTCTGTTGAAGGGCGGAGGCGAAAAAAAAAGGGGATGTGTAAGCTTTGAGGCAGGGTTAAAATAAAACGACAGTTTCTTTGAAAATTTACCGTAAAACACCGTACCGTAAAAAGCAACGGTTTACAACGGTTTCAGGAGGTGTTTTCAGTTTAACTAACAAATCGGCCACTTTATGGGACCAGATTGAACCCGAATTTCAGCAAGATGAAGGGGATGGGCCCCTTCTTGCATGAGTGCGCTTGTTGGCATGTTTGAGAATGTGTTTGACCTTGTTTCTCCCTTTTTTTCTTGGTGACCAGAGTTCTCTAAAAAAAAACGGCCGTATATTTGAAAATCACTGTAAAAGAGGGACCGTATTTTACGAAAACCGTATTTTTGAGCCTTGCTTTGAGGTGCTTAATGCACGAGTGAAGGTGCGGTGAACTGTGAATGTGCTTGTTTGCGTCCCAGCGAACAAAACAACGCGGCAAAGACAACAATCAAGCGCAGTGCATGTGAAGCTTTATGGGCTCGAGTGCTGGGTACAGCTGACAGGCAGCCCCAGCATTCATCACTTATGCCCATTCACACTCACATTCACATTCACATGCACACTCACACTCACACTCGCAAACACATGCACATTCACATAAACATGCACATGCCCATGCACATTCACATTCTATTCATATACACATGCACATAGAGATGAGCATGCACATGCACTTAAACAGTGCGTCTCTCTCCCCTGCACACCCCTAACCTGCGCGCCTCACACCCGCATGGCCTGCCACGTGGCATTGGAGTGCCACCTGCATATGGTGGCGCGAGTGAGTCCACTGGGCGGCGGCCCCGTCAGCAGCACCACGGCGCCTGCACTGCACACGTCCGCCTGCAGGCCTCATGCATGGCGCCACACCTCACTTGCCCGTCAAGCCGCTCACAAGGTAACCCTCTCACTGCCCCTACCTACCATGCACGCCCCTCACCTGCATGCCCCTACCTACCATGCACGCCCCTCACCTGCATGCCCCTACCTACCATGCACGCCCCTCACCTGCATGGCCCTACCTACCATGCACGCCCCTCACCTGCATGGCCCTACCTACCATGCACGCCCCTCACCTGCATGCCCCTACCTACCATGCACGCCCCTCACCTGCATGGCCTGCCACGTGGCATTGGAGTGCACGGTGGCGCGAGTGAGTCCACTGGGGGGCGGCCCGGTGAGCAGCACGGCCACCACGGCTCCCGCACTCCACACGTCCGCCTGGGGGCCGTACGCGTGCTGCCACACCTCAGGCGCCGCGTAGAACGCCGTGCCCATGAAGTCCCGCAGCACCCCCCCACCCTTGCCACGCTGCTCCGTGCCCTCTTCACCCCGCACTGCCTCGCCCGTGGTGGTGCCGCTGCTGGTGGTGGTGGTGGTGGCGGGCGTGGGGGCGGGGTGGAAGAGAGCAGCGCTGCCGAAATCAACGAGCTTGATGGTGAGCGAGTGAGTGTCCGACAGCAGAATGTTCTCCGGCTTCTGCCAGGGGGGAAGGGTTGGAGAGGGAGAGAGGAAGGGAGCGGAGGGGAGGTGGGTGCAGCGGGGACGGGTGGTGTGAGCAGGAGTGGAGAGGAGCAGGAGCGCGGGCTGACACGCTACTGCAATCACATGACTGCACCATCACACCCTCTCCACCCCGTCATATGCCCGTGCCTCACCAACCCCCCACTCTCTTTTCCCCCTCGTCCCCCCTTTGAACATGCCATCCACTCAACCCATCACCTCATCATCCCGTGCTTTATGACTTATCACCCCAAGAGCCCAACAGCGTGTCAGATGCCCAGCCCTGTGCCAGCGCCCACTCGCCCGCAACACCATGCATGCCATTGTTTAGCATATCCATCGCAGCCCAACACGCGCCCCTGCCACCCCGGCCCACGGCCCGCGTGGCTGGCTTGCTGGCAGGCAGGCCTCACCAGGTCGCGGTGGGTGACGCCCCGCGCATGGCACAGCGCCACCGCCTGCAGCAGCTGCCGCGCTGATGGGTGCGCACGTGAGCAGGGAGGGGGGAGAGGGGAGGCGGAGGGGACAGCGGGCACGAACAGAACGGTTGAACGCGGGGGAATATGGGGCAGTGGGGGGAAATGGGGAGGTGAGGGGGAATGGGGGACGGGGAAAGGAAAATGGGGGATAGATGAAAGACGAACGCATATCTTCACTCCGAAAGTAGCTGTCATATCTGTGTGTGTTGCCCCACACACCAATGTGCGCAGCATCAGCCTCGGTGAAGGAGGAGCGCGCAGCGAGCGCCATGAAGAGGTCGCCGCCCTGGGCCTTGTCCGTGACGATGTGCAGGTGCCGGTTGTCCTCGTGCGTTGCCAGCAGGCGGATGATGGGCGGTGAGACCGGTGCTGGTGCTGACCATAGCTGCACGGGGGGGGCGAGGTGGGGAGGGATGCGGTGTGATAAGGAAGGGAAGCACGAGGGAGGAGATGAGAGGCCGGTGAAGGGTGCGTGAAAGTGCACAGTGAGGGGCATTTGGGGCGAGGGCAGTGAGCGGGGCAGCAGCGCAGCAGAGGAAGGAGGTGGAAGAAGGGGCATGCATGATGGAAGCAGCAGCAGGTGGTCGAAACCGAGAAGGCGGTGTGAAAGGACTGAGTGCAGGGAGGGTGGATGGGCGGAGAGCAGGTGGAAAGAGGGACGAAGGAAAGGGAGGGAGGAGGCGTACCCGCTGCAGGGCTTCGATCTCGATGGTCTGATGGCGCGCTCACATGGCAGCACACATGGCAGCACGCATGGCAGCACGCATGGCAGCACGCATGGCAGCACGCATGGCAGCACGCATGGCAGGCAGCACACATGGCAGCACAGGTGCGGCGCGCGTGAGGCACAGGTACGAGGGGAGGAGGGGCACAGGGGAAACGGAAGAAGCACGGGGGAGAGAAGGACGTAGTGAGTTGTTTGAGAAGGTGAGAGACGTCAGGAGTTCGAGGGAACAGCAAGGGTCAGCATTGAAAGAGTGGTTTGATGGGTGCAATGGGTGTGATGGGAGCAATGGGAGTGATGGGAGCAACGATGGTTGCGGTGGTGCGTGGGGAAGGAGGGAGCGGCACTGACGCGGCTGATGTAGGCGGGGCGAGCCGCCAGCACCTTCTTGGAGCACGCCTTCACCGCCACCACCGCGCCCGTTGCCCGCTCCACCGCCTCCCTGCCCTCCCCGCACGCACAGTCACGAGTGGCCATGGTGGTGTTGCGCGTGGGCCGACGGGCGAAACGAGGGGGGAAGGGAGAGAAGGGAGGGGGAGGAGGGGAGAAGGGGGGGGAGAAGGGGGGAGAGAGAAGAGGGGTTTTGTGAAGGCAGAGGAAGGAGCGAAGGGCGCAGGGATGGTGGGGAGACGCAGCAGTGTGGGAAGCGAGGGGGAAAAGGGAAAGCAGGCGGGGGTGAGTTGGCATGCATGTGGTGGTGGGGGGAGAGAGGGGGGGCGGGCAGCGGAGCAAGCGGGGCAGGGCGCACCTGACGGACGCCACGCGGCCGCACCCCAGAGTGTTGCCCACCAGCTTGTAGTGAGCTTCCAAGGAACCTTCCGGGCCCACCTTGGTCGCTGACGTCAGCATGGGGTCCTTGACGTGCTTGTGAGGGGGAAGTGATGATGACGTGGCGGCATGGAGTGACGACGAGGACGGCTCCACTGCCGTGCTGGACAGGCAGCAACCCATTGCGACGGCGACTGGCGATGCTGACGACAGCTGTGACAATAGCGAGGGGCCGAGTGCCGCGGGTGGAGAGTCGCGGCGATCTCCAGGAGTCAACGGAGTCGTTGCTTGGCGCTAGCGCGCGTCGCTGAGCGCTGCTGTGCGCAGACGCGGGCGGAGGTGGCCACCTGGCCTACGACCCGCGCCGCTCGCATTCACGCCGCACTGCTGCCCTCACAGCACGTGTCGGCGCGACGCGCGGGAGTGCGCATCGGCGCTCATAGCGACCGGCGCGCTTTGGGTCCGGATGGAGAGCGGCGAGACCCGCTGCGGGTGTGTGCGAGCGGCGAGCTGTCGCGTTTCGAGTCGACTCAACACTCTTGTGCGCGGAACGCGGCGAGCTGTCGCCACACGAGGGCGTCTTCACGCGCCGAGCGCGCCGCTGGAAGGACACGGCGCTCTGCCGGTGGGGCTCTTCGTTGCCGCATTCCCCGCTGCTCCGGTGTGAGCCAACTGGGCGTCGCTCGCTTGGTGGCGGCAGGAGTGGCGAGGCCAGGTGGCGACTACTGCATTGCGCTGCTGCACGCACTGCGTCGCACGCGACGCCTGCTGCTGAGAGCACTGCTCCGCAAAAAGCGGGAAGCGATATGAGCGCGAGAGTGAGTGAGTGGACGGGCATAGCACTGCAGTGAGCCGTGGCACGACAACAAACTTATAACTCGTGGATTTGTGATGGCGCGTTTCAGAAACAGTGGTGTGGTCGGGGGAATCGTGAATCGTGATTCGTGACGTGCGGGAGTCGACGTGGCACGATTCTGAATCGGAACCACGTGCGGCTGACTCCAAAATTATGCGCGAATCGGAGCCCAGCCATGTGATCGACCATGCACAAGGTGCCGTCCGATATTTTAGTTACACAACTTGGTCGAACTGTAGCTAATAAGTGGAGAGGTGTAGTGACGGCAAAACGATTTACTTCTGTAACGAGCCTTGCGAAAGTACGACGACACGCGCTCAACGAAACGTGTTCGCCCCTACCAGTAGCACCGGTTACGTCTCGTGAATTCGTATGAGCGAGCACCTATCTTAGGCGTCACCTAAAAAAACCCTATTTTTCCAGCGCTTGTAGTGCCCCAACGACGTGTAAAAGAAGCCACGTTTGAAAGGGTGCGGGTTCGCATAGAGGACGGCGCCTCGCTACTGCGTTGCTCAGGGCCATCGCTGATTCATCGTTCTCCTTGAGACGCCGCTCTCCATCCGATTTCAATCCTCGTTTTTGCATCGCCCGTCACGGTGTTGTTATGCTTGTTATGACACACTGAGAGTGCCACTAGAGCGATCACTCTCCCCATCGCTATCGGCCTTCAGCGGTCGCCGCCATGCTCAAGGACAAGCGCGCCGCCTTCCTGCGGCAGCAGGAGCGCGTGCAGGCGCGCACCGTCGTCGACCATGCCGCCGCCACAGCCGCCAGGCGCCAAGCCGCCCCTTCACCCGCTGCCGCTGCGCCGGCGAGCACCGCTGTCGCGGGGGAAGTTGCGGGGAGCGGAAAGGGCATCGCGGTGGGGTTTCAGGGGCTGCAGGCGGAGAACTGGCTGGCGGACGCGGGGAAGTACGAGGCGGTGCTGCGCGTGCGACAGCTGCCGCTGGGGCAGAAGATCAAGAAGGTCATCGACCTGCTCTTCCGGGTAAGAAGGTCATCGACCTGCTCTTCCGGGTACGCGCGCCGCCCCTGCTGCCGCTGCCGCGCGCCGCCGCTGCCCATGCTGGTGCTGGGGTCTGCGGAGGCTGCGAATTGCATGAAGGCGCTACCTCATCAGTGCGCCGGCCATGCGCGCAGTTGTACTGCCTCCATGCGCACAGCGAGCGGTGGGCAGGCCGGGCATGGTGGAACCAGCGCCCCTGCCCTTTCTGCTCGCGGATAATCCCTTCGCCTCCCCGCCCTCCCTTCGCCTCCCCTCCTCTCTCCCTTTCCTCCTTCCCCACCCTCCACGCCCTCCCCTCCCCACCCTCCCCGTGCCCACCTCCTCCTGCAAGGAACAGTACAATACCTTCTGAAGCACTACTGACTCGCGGCATGCATCCACCTCCCCCGTGCCCTGCCCTCCCCGTCCCGCTTCTCCCCCTGTGCGTGCGCGTGCACAGGAGCGGCAGGGGCTGACGGCGGAGCAGGTGGAGGCGGTGACGATGGTGGACGTCACCACCAGCCGCGAGCTGCAGGCCAGCCTGCGTGCCAACCCCAAGGTCGCCATGCACGGCAACACCTACATCTACAAGGTGCGCCCCCCGTGCTCGCCCCACGCCCTCTGCTGCCATGCCTGTGCAGCCTGCCGCCTTCCTTTGCTGCGTTGTGGCGCCCTGCCTGCTGTTTCCTCCATTCCACCCCCACTGTGCCCATCCGACCTTCCACCCACTCCCTCCATGCTTCCCCCATCCCACCCTCCCCGCCTCTCCCTCGCCCTTTCCCCCCCCCTCAACCGTCATGGCAACGCATACACGAGCAGGCGAAGCACGAGTTGGCGGGCCGGGACGACCTGCTGAGGCTGATCCGCGAGCACAAGGACGGCATCCCCATGGGCGACGTGCGCGACTCCTACAGCGCCGTGGCGCAGCACGTGCAGGAGCTGCGCGCCATGGGGCAGGCGTGGGTGCTGTTCAACGCGGACAGCGGCGACGAGGTGCTGTTCCCCAACGACCCGCGCATCGCCATCAAGGTGGACCCCGACATCCGCGCTCTCTTCCGCCGCATCGACCTGCCGCGCGACCTCACCGACCTCGAGAAGGAGCTGCAGCGCTGCGGCCAGAACCCCGCCATGCCTGCTGTGCGCCGCCTGCAGGCCCTCGAAGGCGCCATGACTGCGCAGGTAGAGGGGGTGGGAGAGAGAGGGGGGAAGGGGGAAGGTGAGGGGTTGGGGGTTGTTTCTGGGGTGGTGCGTGGAGAAGGTTGGTTTAGGGCTGTGTGGATGTGCAGGCATGAGGCGGTAGCATGCCGTGCCTGCTGTGCCCGCAGGCCTTGCAATGGGGCTGGTCGCGATGGTGAGGGGCGAGGTGGTTGAGGTGGTGGGGAGGAGGGAGCAGGGACATAGGGGGAATGCGGCATGGGAGATCTTTTGTTCAGAGCGCTGGCTGAAGGTAGTGATGGTGTAGGTGCTTTGCATGCATTGACAGCACAAGTGAGAAGCCTCATCCATATCATTCCTCTTGTTTCCAGACCCAAAAGCCCAAGGCGAAGAGGAAGCGCGAGTCGAAGCGCACCAAGTACACCAACAACCATCTGCCAGAGCTCTTCGCCAACACACCCATGTGATCGACCTTGCTCTCGCCTGCTCACTTCGTTTGAATTCCGTTGGCCTCTTCTCTTCGTATTGAAGCTTACCCTATTTCCCCAATGGCTTCATTGTGGGCCATGGTGCAGGCAATAGTTACGGCACCAAGTGGCATGTCTAATTCGAGTGTTCCTCCCTTGTACATATCTCACGTAACTGTTTTCTATTATATTCATTTTTGTACCAAGCCTAGTTGAGGTTCTTCTGTGAGCATTGTGGTACTGTAAGATGGCCAGCAGTTTCAGTGATTGGATTTGTCAACTCCTTGGTAGCTAACGCACACAAAATCTTTCAGAATCAATCATGCGTAACATGACAGTGCTCGCCCGTTACCCTACCACTTTCGCCACTTGAATCTCACTGACACACCAGCCGCCTCGCCTTCGAGTGCTTTCCTGACAGGCGGGAACGATCTGCCACTTGGCAGCATGCATCGCACAGGTTTTCGCGGGCTAAGTTGGTGGTATGCCACGCCCTTGGTTCTGTTCTCAACCGTCCATGCCTGTGCCCGATTTCAGGGTTCCATGTGCCATCCATGTCCCACCCGTTCCCCCCCCAAAGCCCCATCCATGTGTGTTTCACCTTCAAATCTGCAACTCCACACCTTCGTCTGCTCCTCAGTCCCGCTTCCCAACAGAGTTTGTTTTCGTGTTGTGTGCCATCGCGAATCCGTCAGTCACTCATATCCCAGACACACCTTTAGGGCGTTGTGACCAGGAATCTAGATCTCGAAGTGCATAGCTCGGAAAATGGTGAGCTACGCTAGTTTTGCGTTTCGCCGCAGTAGACGTTTATGAGCATCTCTGCAGAATCTTAAAGTGCTGTCGTGTCCCGCCTTGTCGGTATTATGCAGGCTCTCCCTGGTCAGACCACACCTGAAGGTTGCCCCAGCTTCAAGCTGATTCTTGTTGGTGATGGCGGTACAGGTGCGCATCTCTCTTTGCACAGTTCGGTTATGCGACGCTTAGGCAGGAGCGTTTAATTGTTTTCACTTTTTGTTGTTTCAGGAAAGACAACCTTTGTGAAGCGTCACTTAACGGGTGAATTTGAGAAGCGCTATGAGCGTAAGTTAAGGATGTGATGGATTCAGCTTTAGCTTTACTGCTCTAATCTCGTATCAGCGTTAACAGTCGCTTCGTTGCTCATGCCGCAGCCACTATCGGTGTGGAAGTCCACCCCCTTGATTTCTACACCAACTGCGGTCGGATTCGCTTCTACTGCTGGGACACAGCAGGTCAAGAAAAATTCGGCGGACTTCGCGACGGTTACTAGTAAGCTCTTCCACGATTGTCAGCACCTGTCTCCCTAGTTTTCTACCGACGTTGGTTTTCACCGTGTAGCCCATAGCTTAAATGTCAAACGAGCTTCAAGAAACGGGTCGGTTATGACATAAAAAGGCACATTTCGTTATTCGTAGCTGGGGAGCAGATCATTGCGACTGACAAGAGGGAGATTTTATCTGGGAGCGCCTTCAAGCTTTACATGGCTAGTAGTGCGGGGAGTGCGAAGGATCGGCCGATCGGGGTAGTAGCACCATACCGATTTAGCGACTGCGTTGCCGTAGCCTTTCTCGTTGTCCTCCCGTGTTTCCGACCGTTCTCAACCAACTAACGGCCTCAAACTGACCCGTTTGTATTCCCCTTGGCATTTCAGTATCCACGGGCAATGTGCGATCATCATGTTCGATGTGACATCGCGGCTGACATACAAGAACGTCCCTACATGGCACAGAGATCTGTGCAGGTAAGCTTAAAGCGTGTAGGTTGCATTCCGAACGGAAAGTTGAGGCCTCGTTGCTTATTCGTTTTCTTTCTATACCTCTTTCCCAGGGTGTGCGAAAATATCCCCATCGTCCTCTGTGGAAACAAGGTTGACGTGAAGAACCGTCAGGTGAAGGCCAAGCAGGTCACTTTCCATCGCAAGAAGAATCTTCAGTACTACGAGATTTCTGCCAAGAGCAACTACAACTTTGAGAAGCCCTACCTGTATCTTGCCAGGAAGCTTGCTGGGTAAGTTCATCTCCATATTTTCTGAGGCTTTATTTCCTCTGTAGACCCTTGTGGAATCGCCAATCTTCACTTTGTGACTCTGTTACTGCTTCCAGGGATGCCAACCTTCACTTTGTGGAGTCGCCTGCTCTTGCACCACCTGAGGTCGCCATTGACCTTGAACAGCAGGCCAAGTAAGTAGAGTTACGATGTCTTTTAGTAGGAGCAACAATTGTGAGTCGTAATTCATTCCTTGTGTTACTGTCTGTTGTGCAGGTACGAGCAAGAGCTTGCTGCTGCTGCTGCACAGCCCCTTCCAGATGAGGATGATGACTTGGTGGAGTAAACTGGTCGCAATTTTCAAACGTCGTCTGTTGATTAGCTGCAATCATACAAATCTTTATGTATGTTTGCATTGATTTAGGTGATTCATACCAGCTGCCTGTAGCTTATCCCTTATTTGTAGTGTCATCAATATTTCATAGGCTAGTTACCAGATCATTTGAGATGCGTGCTACTATAATGCCCATTTGCGCCTAATCGTTGGAAGCATTCCTCGCCCATTTGTATGAATTGGTGTGTTCCCACTATCTAAGACCTTAGCGTTTGCGCTGCTAATAAACATTACAATGCCATTACAATTGTTCTGAGCAGAACATATAGTCAAAACACTGTGTAAGTGGATACATCTTACCACAGTACACAGACACACACTCTTGAAGCACAAGATATGGTAAGGAAGCACCTAACCGAAGTCATTCTTCATACGGCAAGATTGCGGACCCGTTGCCTTAGCTCCTCAAGCTGCTGAGTGGACGTCTGCAGCTGCGATTGCAGAGCATCCACGCGCACAAGCTCATCATCCACAGCGCGGCGGTACGGTGCCAGCTCAGCACGGATGCGAGTCTCCAGGTCAGCCAGGCGACTCTGCAGCTCGCCCTCCAGCCCCTCCTCCAGGCGCTTGATGAGCCCCGCTGCCCGCTGCCGTATCTTGCCCTTCACCTTCTCCCGCCGCTGTGGGAAGGTGAGCACATTCAGGGAGCTGCACACACAGCAGTACAGGCGGGGTGGGGGGAGGATGAGCACGGTGAGAGTGGAGTGGTGGTTGTGTTGGTGGAAGAGCACATGGGGCTTAACCAAGGCAGTGGGCAGCTCACACTCATCAGCAATGCTCACCCTCCTGCGGCCTTGCAAGCCCCACCCTGTGGCTGCTTCAGTCAGTGCAAGGCAGGGCGTGCAAGGACGGTGAAGGGAGGCTCACCCGCCAGCGGTGCAGACAGTGAGGGCGAGCAGGTCCTCCAGGGACGACTGCAGCACGGCCGTGAGCACCGACGCCGACACCCCTGCCACTCCCAGCCCTGTCACCGTGCTCACCACCTGTGCCGTGCCATGGCCCGTGTTGTGGTCGTGCGGCACGCAGGAGGTGAAGGAAAGGGAAGGGATGAAGACGTGGAAATGGTGTAACAGGGAAACGGGGAGAGAATGGGGAGGCACGGCAGCAAAGGCTAAATCAATGAAACAAATAAAATCGGGAAAAAGAGGGGTAAGAGAGAAAAGGTGGAGCGCCAAGGGGTCAAAAGTGGAGAGCCAGAGGGTGCGAGCATGGCTGAGAGGGATTGGTGGTGGAAGCGGGCAAAGAGAGAATGCGGGACCAGTGAAGAAGGGATGGATGCGAGGACGAGCTGGGTCATGCGGGATCACGACAGGGCCACCATTCTTCAGTTGTTTCACCCACACATTCATCAATTCCCCCACCTCACTTCCAATTCTCTCCTCACTCATTCTCTTTTCCCACACACTCCCTCATCTCACCGACTCCCGCATTTCTTCCTCCAGCAGCAGAGCAGCAGCGCGCGGGCTGAACCCCTCCAGAATGCCAACCGTCTCGGGAATCCTCCCCTCCTCGCCCTCGCTCTCGCCCTCCTCCTCACTGCCCGGCAGCGCGGGGGCGGGCGGCACGGAGGGCCAGCGGGTGCGGGCGAAGTCGCGGTAGCTGGCGAGCTGGCGCGCGTTGTTGGAGCGCAGCCACACGTGGTGCTCCACCAGCGCTCTCTGTGCCACACACGTGGGGAAGGGGTGCGTGTGGCGTGGACGGATAGGTGTGGCACGGCATTCCATGGGCGGATGGGGGGTCAGGAAGGAGGGGGTTGTGATGATGAGGTTTTTGAATTGGTTGAGGGTAGGGGAAGAAACGAGGTGGTATAGATGACTCAAGGCATGTCAAACATGGGAGTGAAGCGCATTGGACAAGCAGGTTGCCTGCAGGACCTGGTTCTGCTGCTGCCACTACACATCCCAGCTTATCGGGGTACCATGCATGCCAGGCATGTCAGGCACGTCAGGCATGGCACTCATGACAGGCATGGCAATGAGGCGTGTGTGGCAGCACTCACCCGCACATCAGCCACCACGGTGCCCACGATCTGAGTCTGAAAGCTCTTGCTCACAGGCAGCATGCCGCCACTGCCACTCGCCCCATCACCACTTCCCCCACCACCCCCACCAGGCGGTGAGAACAGGTACTGAATCATGACGTCAGCATTGCCCAGCCGCAGCGTGGCCTCCACAAACTCCTCCGCCCTTCCCGCCGCCTCCCTCACGAGTGCGGCCACGCGGGAGCGCTGCAGCAGGGAGTCGGTGCGCATGGCGGCGCCGTACCCCTCCATCTGCGCCTCCACCGCCGCCAGCGCCTCGTCGTCCCGCGCTGCCGCCTCCGCCTGCGCTGTTAACTGCGCCTCCGCGCCCGCCAGCAGCGCCGACGCCACTCCCAGCGGCGTGTCCAGCTTCAGCCGCAGCCGCTCTGCTCCCGCGTCGGAGGAACCTTCCAGGAACTGCTGGATGAAGATCTCGAGGTCGGCGAAGCCTGACGCCTGGTAGGACGGGTCGTTGCGCAGGCGGACGGCTGCGGCTTGGGCGGCGGGGTCGGGCGGCGGGATGGCGGCGGCGGCGGAGGAGGAGAGGGCGGGCGAGGGCGCGGGGGGGAAGGGGTAGGGCGCGTTGTGGAGGAGCTTGGCGGCGAGGGCGGGGCGCGAGGCGAGGGGGAAGCACAGCACGGTGTCGACTGCCAGCAGGCGCTTCACGTTGGCTGTCACGAACTCCTGCACCTCCCTCACGTCCGCGGGCGAGGAGAGCGAGTCGACCTTGTTGAGCGCAAACACCACCTTCTTGCCCCACTGCCGGATGTAGCGCAGGAATGATACCTGCGGGAGGGGTGCAGCCGATGAGCAGAGCGACAGCGATGTGGATGGCAGGTGTGGCGAGTGGACGGTGCAAGCAGGGCGGCAGGGTTGCATGGTTGGCGGGATGAGGTGGAGCAACGTGGAAGTAGTTGAAGTGACCATGTGACTCTCCATGGGCGTGCACATGGCGTGCACATGGCGTGCACATGGCGTGCACATGGCGTGCACATGGCGTGCACATGGCGTGCACATGGCGTGCACATGGCGTGCACATGGCGTGCACATGGCGTGCACATGGCGTGCACATGGCGCACATGGCATGCACATGGCATGGTAATGGTGTGCATGTGGAGTGCATATGAAGCGCGCATAGAAGGGAAGCAGCAGTGAAGGAATGGAGGCACATGCACTTTATTTGAGGGGGTGGAGATGGAATGGGCAAGGGCAAGAGAGCAGGGGGGCAGGAGGGCAAAAGAGTAGGGGGGCAGGAGGGCAGGAGGGCAGGAGGGCAGGAGGGCAGGAGGGCAGGTGGGCAGGTGGGCAGGGTGGCAGGGTGGCGGGAGGGCAGAGGGCAACAGGGCAGGAGGGCAGGAAAGGAAGAGAGTGAGAGGGCACGGTACGCACCTCAGACTCGGTGAGGGGGCGGTCGGCGGAGAGCACGAAGAGCACGAGGTCAGCCTGGGGCACGAACTCCTCTGTGAGGCGCTGCTGCCGCTCCAATATGACGTTCGTGCCGGGCGTGTCCACCACGTTCATCTGCTCCCATGCCACCCCCCGGGGCCAGGGGTGATGGGTGCACGGGAGAGGGGCAAGGAGAAGCCACGTGAAAGTTGATAATGAGCAACAAGGGCAACAAGAGCGGATGTTTGAGATTCAGCTGGCAGGCATGAATGTGCAGGGGGTAGCAGCGAGGGGCTGAGCGCGCACCTGTTTGAGGAGGTCGGCGGGCAGGAAGCGGATCATGTGGCCGTCGGGGTGGCGCTGCTCCTCCACCGCCATGCGCCCCGCCACCGCCCTCGCTGCCGCCCGCCCCGCCACCGCACCCCTCTGCGACCCCGCTGCTGCTGCCGACAGCGCTGCACTGGACGCGGCCTGAGCGGCACGTGCACGCAGCTGCGAGGAGGGCGAGGTGTCGAGGTGGCGCAGCAGCGTGATCTCGTTGGTGGTGGGCACCACCCCCACCTTCAGGAAGGCGTCCCCCAGCAGCGCGTTCACCAGCGACGACTTGCCCGAGTTGAACTCGCCCTGCCCCCATGTGCGTGGTGCACGTGTGGCGCGGGAGAGAGGGGGGAAGGGTGGGCGAGGGAGGATTGTGAGAGGCGAGTCTTTGTGAGTGAAGCGAGAGGACGGGTTGGGTGCGAGGCAGCCATGTGCGAGGCAGCCATGTGCGAGGCAGCCATGTGCGAGGAAGTGGATGTGCGAGGAAGTGGATGTGCATGCAATGCAGTGGCGCTACAGGTACAGCATGGGCAGCCCTGGCGCGCAAACGCGTGTGATGATGACGGGGACGTGAATGGAGTATGATGCCATGGGTGACCACACGAATGCATGGCGGCACAGAGGGGTACTGACCACGACGACGACGAGGAAGGGTTCCCCCAGGCGCGCGAGGGAGTCCTCCAACAGCTGTATCTCCGCCATCTGATGCCACGCCATGCCATCCCATGCCATCCCATGCCATGCCATGCCATGCCATGCCATGCACACACACAGGAGAAAGCATGCAGCCATTGTCGGCACGGAGTCATGTCGGCATGGAGGCACAGGGGCATGCAGGCGTGGTGGGAAGCCAAAAGGGGCAAAGAAATAAAGAGCGTGGGATGGGAGGGTGACTCATGTGCTATGGTGCTCACATCGGGGCAAGCGGCTCACATCGGGGCAAGCAGCACGGAGCAGGGCGAGCAGCGAGGAGAGCAGCTTCCTCTCCGCCTTCATGATCCGTCGCCCCTCCACGTCCAGCACCCCCCGCCCCTCCCTGCCCTCGCCCTCCTCCTCCTCTTCCTCCTCCTTCTCCCCCTTCTCGCCCTTCTCCCCCTCCCCCTCCCCCTCCCCTGCCGCCTGCAAGCGCACATCCTCCCCCGCCACAGCACTCGCAGCAGCGGGCCCCGGAGGCCCCCCCACGCCAGATAGCACCTGCTCCACCTCCTCCCTCACCTCCTCCACGTCCCCACGCCCTAGGACCTCGCCCCCTGCTGCACCTCCCACTCCCATGCCCACTTCCTCCCCCTCCTCCTCACTCTCCCCCTCACTCTCCGTCTCACTCTCCTCCCCCGCGCCCTCCCCCATGCCCTTGGTGACCCACCGAGCATCAGCCATGGCGCCCACCACGCGCCCCACCGCTGCGCGCATCGCCCTGCTCTCCCCGCCACCTCCCACACCCCCTACTTCCCCTGCTTCTGCTCCGTCCGCTCCTTCTGCTGCTTCGGCTGGTTCTGTTGCTGCCGCCTGCAGCAGCGAGGAGAGAGTAACGGCCACGCCAGCAGCGCCGCTGCCCATGACACCGCGCACCCACTGCACGCCCTCGCCCCCTGCCCACGCGGCCCCCTCGCCCCGCTGCACCAGCACGGGGATGCTCACCTGCCGCGCCCTCACCTGCGCCACTGCTGCCGCATCAGCACTGCGCCCTGCACTGCTGGCACTGATAGCAGCCCGCCCTGATGCGGCAGCGGAGGGCGCGAGCAGGATGAGGTCGGCGCCGTCAGCGGTGGTGGCGGTGACTGCGGCGGCCACGGACGCCACTCGGCGCGCCACGAGCGGCAGCAGCGGGCCCGACGCCGCACTCTCCATCATGCGCCGCGCTGCCACTGCTGGTAGGCCTGCACGTGGGCGCAGGCATGGGGGGACGCGGGGCGCAGAGAGAGCGAGGGGCGCGACCACGGAAAGATGGGGGAAGCGGAGGGGAGACGAGAGGAGTGGCAGACATAGGCGTGAGAGGGATGGAAGACGGGAAGAGGTTTGGCCGTAATGCTGAGGGCATTGGGAAAGGCACAAAAGCGGCAGGTTCAGAAGCAGGGAGAGCGATGTGGGAGGATGAAGGACGGTGGCCGTGAGAGGCGAGGGCTGCGAGCCATGGGTGCGGCATGTGAGCATGGGTGCGGCATGTGAGCATGGGTGCGGCATGTGAGCATGGGTGCGGCATGTGAGCATGGGTGCGGCATGTGAGCATGGGTGCGGCATGTGAGCATGGGTGCGGCATGTGAGCATGGGTGCGGCATGTGAGCATGGGTGCGGCATGTGAGCATGGGTGCGGCATGTGAGCATGGGTGCGGCATGTGAGCATGGGTGCGGCATGTGAGCATGGGTGCGACATGTGAGCATGGGTGCAGCATGTGAGCATGGGTGCGGCATGTGAGCATGGGTGCAGCATGTGAGCATGGGTGCAGCATGTGAGCATGGGTGCGGCATGTGAGCATGGGTGCGGCATGTGAGCATGGGTGCAGCATGTGAGCATGGGTGCAGCATGTGAGCATGGGTGCAGCATGTGAGCATGGGTGCGGCATGTGAGCATGGGTGCAGCATGTGAGCATGGGTGCAGCATGTGAGCATGGGTGCAGCATGGGTGCGGCATGTGAGCATGGGTGCGGCATGTGAGCATGGGTGCAGCATGTGAGCATGGGTGCAGCATGTGAGCATGGGTGCAGCATGGGTGCGGCATGTGAGCATGGGTGCGGCATGTGAGCATGGGTGCAGCATGTGAGCATGGGTGCAGCATGTGAGCATGGGTGCAGCATGTGAGCATGGGTGCAGCATGTGAGCATGGGTGCGGCATGTGAGCATGGGTGCAGCATGTGAGCATGGGTGCAGCATGTGAGCATGGGTGCAGCATGTGAGCATGGGTGCGGCATGTGAGCATGGGTGCGGCATGTGAGCATGGGTGCGGCATGTGAGCATGGGTGCAGCATGTGAGCATGGGTGCAGCATGTGAGCATGGGTGCGGCATGTGAGCATGGGTGCGGCATGTGAGCATGGGTGCGGCAGGTGAGCATGGGTGCGGCATGTGAGCATGGGTGTGGCATGTGAGGCATGTGCGATGCGGTGTGTGCGTTGACCTTCTCAACTTCCTACAATCACACTCCATGTATCATGCCACATGAAAGAAGCCGTCAAGATTTGCTTGCTAGTGGGACGCGCCATGTGCCATGCCATGCCACCATGCGACCATGCCATGCCACCATGCGACCATGGCATGCCACCATGTGACCATGCTATGCCACCATGCGACCATGCCATGCCACCATGCGACCATGCCACGCCACCATGCGACCATGCCATGCCACCATGCGACCATGCCATGCCACCATACGACCATGCGACCATGTCATGCCATCATGCGACCATGCCACGCCACCATGCGACCATGCCATGCCACCATGCGACCATGCGACCATGTCATGCCATCATGCGACCATGTCATGCCACCATGCGACTATGTCATGCCACCATGCGACCATGTCATGCCACCATGCGACCATGTCATGCCACCATGCGACCATGCCATGCCACCATGCGACCATGCCATGCCACCATGCAACCATGCCATGCCACCATGCGACCATGTCATGCCACCATGCGACCATGCTATGCCACCATGCGACCATGCCATGCCACCATGCGACCATGCCATGCCACCATGCGACCATGCCACGCCACCATGCGACCATGCCATGCCACCATGCGACCATGCGACCATGTCATGCCATCATGCGACCATGTCATGCCACCATGCGACCATGTCATGCCACCATGCGACCATGTCATGCCACCATGCGACCATGTCATGCCACCATGCGACCATGCCATGCCACCATGCGACCATGCCATGCCACCATGCAACCATGCCATGCCACCATGCGACCATGTCATGCCACCATGCGACCATGCTATGCCACCATGCGACCATGCCATGCCACCATGCGACCATGCCATGCCACCATGCGACCATGCCATGCCACCATGCGAACATGTCACGCTCCTCTCATCCGTATCTCGCCCTCCTCTCCATCCCTCACCCCTCCCCCACGCTCATCGCACCCCCTCCGCGCACGCTCATCGCACCGTTATCGGACAGCAGGACGCCATCAGCGCCGGCAGCGGCGGCGATATCCGCGCGTTCCGCCACCAGCAGCGGCACTCGCCCGCGCACCACCTCCTTCACGGCGCACGCCGCCTCGAACAGCTCCATGCCCGCGCCGCCCGCGCCCTCCTCCCCCACCACCACCATGGTCGCGCCCCCCGCCACCGCCGCGTCCACCGCCTCCGCGCTGCCCTGCGCCCCTCCGCGCAAAACTTCCGCGCTGGTCAGCGTCAGCAGCAGCGCAGGAAGGCGCACCTCCGCGCGCTTTTGTCCCGCGCGGAAAGAGCCTACCGCCACCGACCCCGCGGAGCCCTGCCCGCCCGACGTGGTCGCCGCGACGCGCACGGCCCCTCCATTGGTGCGGCGCGGTGGGACGGATAGGCGCGTGGCGGGGACGAGCGGGAGGCGAGCGGAGAAAAAGGCGGCACGGGCGCTGGAGATGCGCGCTAGGCGGGGAGGTGCCGCTGTGAAATGAGCAGGACGCGAGCGAATCTGTGCACTGGGACCAGCGAAGCGAGCATTCACGACCATTTGCGAATCTGTGCGTTGATGACTCGTGGCGCACACGACGCTCACTCTCGCGTCGCGTAATAATAGAGTGGGCGCCATGTTCGGATTCCAAATAATGAGTGAAGATCAGACGCGAACGGAGAAAACGAGCCTAGCCAGCGATCATGGCTGGCAAAACTGATTTCAGTGACGAGTGGGTTGAGAAAGAGGCGGTGAGGTTGGAGAATGCACGGATAAGGAGGGCGAGGTGGATGCGAAGGATTCTCCCAAATCCACTTCGGTATTGGGACGGTACGGTCAAGGATTATAATGCTGGATCCGTTAGCATAAAAACTTCGTGTCATGCAACATGTAAAAGTTGAAGAGGTGGAATGTTGCTATAATTGTTATTATCAAATAAATGGAAACTTAATCAGAACAAAGTTACGATAATTTATATCACTTATAATGTTTCACAACACATTAACATAGAAACATATAATTTTCACCTGTTACGAATAGTGAAATGAGATTGTACACTCCCAACTGCAGTAAGTGAAGCACACAGTACCCATATGGCCCCGGATATAGGCGCCGTCCGATTAAAGGCGCCGGCGCCTCTATCTGGAGCATGGCGCTTATGGCTGGAACTCGATTATAAGCGCACCCCCTGAAAATTCTATCCTTATTATAAGCGCATCCCTTAACCTTTCATTGGAGGCATTACAAAAGATTTTACTAAACTGTCACCTTTTCTAAGCAACAATATCAGATTAAGCTAGATCTCCTAACAACAAGTTTAGCTGGGGTACTTCTACCTAACATGGATCATACAGTATCCCTCCTATTCCTCCTCGTCAGATTCGGGCTCCTGGCAGTTGTTGCCAAAAAAACCATCAGCGATGATGTCATCGTCAACATCCATTTCCGCTGTCAGTTGGCTCCGCCTGTGCGCCATGGCGAGTCCGTCCTCACTGCCGTCAAGCTGGTTGCGGATGCCACAGGTGAGGAAGGCATGCTTGATGAGGTCGGCCGGCACTGCCTTCCAGGCCTGGGACACCCACCGCAGGACGACCTCTGCTGGAGGCTTCTTCAGGTTCCCTGAAACATTACGGGAGAACGGTTGAAAGCCGTTAGTTCAACAACAAAGAATTCGGGGGGGGGGGGGGGGGGGGGGGAATACCGTACTCATGCCATACCTGCTGCCGTCAGCTGCTCTTGCCCCTCTGCCTCAAACCACCTCTGGTACTGCTGGCGGACTGACGCCTTAAAGCTCTTGTTGATGGAGACATCGAGCGGCTGTACCTCCGCCGTACAGCCTGACGGGATGATTGCCGGCACGCAGTTCATCTCGCGGAGCTTCTCCTTCACCTCCTCGGTGAGGTGACCGCGGTAAGAATCCAGCACCAGCATCGAGCTCTTGGCGTGTCTGCCGAACCGAGGCTTCAGGAACGGCTTCACGCCCTCCTCAAGCCAGCGAACGACGCCTGGGGAGTCCATCCACCCGTTCTCGTGGCAAGCCAGGACCACATCTGCATGAAACACGCACGGGTGGTTAGAATTCGAACTCAGAAAAGAACGCAGTGACCGAGCCGTGCACCTCTTTACTTACCGGCAGGGAAATCGCCCTTCGGCAAGGTTTTGCGCTTGAAGAACACCCACGGCTTCAGCTTCCTTCCGTCCGCCGTGCACGCCAACATCACGGCCACTCTCTACTTCTGATACCCCGCGCTCCTGATAGGCACCGAGCGAACACCCGTTTCCTCCACGGTGGTGGTGGCGGGCATCTCCAGCCAGAGCGGCGTCTGGTCCGCGTTGATGATCCACGCGGTGTCGATGCCGCGCTCACGACGCTTGGCACGCACGAACTGCCAGAAGATCTTGCACTGCTCAGCGACATCTGCACGGCGGTGGAAGAGACGACGTACATAGACAGAGGGCGTTAGTACAATTAAAGAAAAACAACATACCAAATTTAACGGGGTAATTCTCACGCGCGGCGGTTTTCTGGGCAACCCGGGTCTTCATGCGGACGCTCAGATTCCATCGCCGCCGAAAGTGCTCCGACCACCTCTGGCTTCCTTTCCACTTCTTGTCCGGGTACAGAAGCTTCATGAACTCCCGCGACCACTCCTGCAGGCGGCCGACTGACACGGCGGTTCCCTTGCAGCGCCACTCGAGTAGCTTCTCATACACCTTCAACTCCATCGGCCGGTACCACGACGCTCGCCCGCGGCCGTGCACGCGCTTCCGAGCGGAGTGAACATCCTTGAGGATTTCCGCCGCCCCCTTCCAGTTGGTGAGGCACTTCCGGTGGAATCCGCTCTCGCGAGCCAAGGCGCGCACCGATACCGCCACGTCCAGCAGAGCAACCTACTTCAACTTCTCCGCGGCAGTGTAACCTTGCCGCTTGTGGTCGGTGAGCTTGTGCCTGGGAGAGGGGGGGCGAGCATCACGGTTCTGTGAAGAGGGGTGGGGTCGCTTGCGATTATTCGGAGGATAGGTTGGTATGGGTAGTTTCTCGGGTAGCCCGTCGCGTGACCAGTACTCAACGCCGTCGTCGTCATCGTCGCCCGTAACACCTTCTGGAAACACATCCTCAGCGGTGCCGCCCTGGTCGCCGCCCCCAGCGGAAGCCTCCGTGCCACCCTCGGCACCGTCAGCGCCGCTCGCTTCCTCAGCGTCAGCAACATCATCGTCGGCGCCGACCGCAGATTCGTCCCAAGGGCAATCGTCGGGCTGTCCCCAACGTCCTCCAGGCGCGTGTTCCACTTCGACGTACTCATCTTGCGCCTTGTTAGACTCCGGTTCGGAGAGGTATTCGACGAACGCCGATGGGAGCAGCAGCATGAGCACGGGCTGATTGCCATTGAGTTGCGGAGACACAGGACCCGGAGGCGGAGGAGCAGGAGGAACAGGAGGCGCAGGAGGTGCAGGAGGCGAAGGAGGAGCAGGAGGCGCAGGAGGCCGTGGTGGCTCTGGTGGTTCTGGTGGGATACGGGAGTACCACCCGTCAGCGTTGTCAGAATGAACAAGAGTGATTGCACTAGGAAAGAGTTGGGTACAAGTAGGAAACCCTAAACATACTGTACCCCATAGTAACTACCCCACTACAGCCTAAACAAACTGTAGCAGATATAACATTTGACACACCCCCATAGGCAAAGTGGGGGAGAGCAAGGGGTCACAAGACCAGTCAAGAAAGGCAAAGCAAGCTCAGGGTGGATCACAACGTCACCACACACTCTGAGCACAAGCAAAGGGCCACAAGGCCAGTCCACATGCAGAGGCATATATGCAACACAAACAGCACAGTGATCTCTACCTAGCAAAGCAAGCATGCAGGTATATATATATAGATCACAGTACAAGCAAAGCCTACATCAAGTGAGGAAAAGTGGGCACAAGCCCTAGCATAGTGCAGAAACGCTGATGATCACCAGACTGAAGTGCCTTGGTGAATATATCAGCAGTGTTGGCCCGAGTGGCCACGTAACGCAGACGAAGCTGACCACGCTGCTGCAACTCTCGAGCCAGGAAGTAACGCAGAGCAATGTGCTCCGTTCTGTGCTCCGGTCTGTGCTCCTCACACAAGGCAATGGTAGCCTTGTTGTCGACGTACATCACTGGAGGAGAACGAGGCCGCTCTCCCAAGTCAGTCAGCAGGTAGGTGAGCCAGCGTAACTCCTGTGCAGCCATGGCTGTGGCGTAGATCTCAGCCTCACAACTGGAGCTGAGAACTGAAGACGAACGTGTAGAACGCCAAGAAACTAAACCAGAGCCAAGGCTGAAGGTGTAACCCTGTGACGACCGCTGAGTAGCCTGGTCGTCAACCCAAGAAGCGTCTGAGTGCCCAGTGAGGACAACTGAGCTCCTCCCTCCAAGCACGAGTCCCATGCCTGATGTACTGCACAAGTAGCGTAGTACCCTCTTAGCAGCATCCATGTGCACCTTTCGGTGCCGACCAGGAGCCACGTAGCGAGCCAGAAGGCCAAGAGGGTACGCGAGGTCAGGACGAGTGCAAGTCATCAGGTACATGAGACAGCCAACTAGCTCTGGGTAAGGACCACTCGGCTCTACGGACTCGTCCGAAGGTGGAGCTGAGAGCGAGTGACCTGTAGCCAGGTGGAGCCGAAGCGCTGAAGGACCTGCTGCACCATGTGTGACTGAGTCAGTGTGATGGTGCGGCGTGCTCTGTCCCGGGTGATCTGCAAGCCAAGGTAGCTGCGCAGTTCACCCAGGTCTGTGCACGTGTGTCTCTTCTGCAGCTCCGACTTCACGTGGGCGAGAGACTCAGTGTCAGCAGTGGCAAAGACCAAGTCGTCGACGTACACGAGGATGTAGAATGGCGGCAGCGAAGTGTCGGTGCACAGAAACAGCGACGGGTCAGCAGTAGAAGGCGCAAACCCAAGAGCCGCAATTGTAGTCCTCAGTGTGTCGTGCCACTCACGTGGCGCCTGGCGGAGACCGTAGACCGGCCGCCGGAGGCTCCACTGGGTACCAGGAGGGAACGACCCAGTGAAGCCAGGAGGGCGACGCAGCCAGATCTCCTCGTGCAGGCTGCCCTGCAAGAAAGCTGTGCTGAAGTCAAGAGAGTGAAGCTCGTAGTCACGCTGAGCGGCAACGTGCAGTAGCACCCAAAGAGTGGTCATCTTCGGGGTGGGGGAGAAGGTCTGGAAGAAGTCTACTCCCTCTCGCTGACTGAAGCCTCGAGCAACGTAACGAGCCTTGAAGACAGGCGGAGAACCTGGCGGCCGCTTCACCCTGAAAATCCACATGCCACTGACGATGTTCGCCCAAGGAGGGGGAACCTCGTCGACGTAAGTGCCAGTGGACTTCCAGGATGCCATCTCTGCGTCCATGGCTGACTGCCACTGAGAGGATTACTCACCCGCGATCGCCTCAGCGTAAGAGCGCGGGGTCGGGATGTCTGGTGCATGCGGGTCTCCCTCAGGTGCAATCAGCATGGACACGAGATGAGGTACAGCGGCGGCAAAGCACTCAAACTCCTCCTGCCTGTCCTCAAGGACGTCCGTGCCAAG